ATAGAGGCAAGACCACAGTATATAAACAGTGACTCATTCTTACATCATGCATGTGATTGGTATAGTATTGGACATGTCTACTTCTTTTTACACATGCTTGCAAGAACACTTAGGAAATTAGGATCACAAGTTAAATTTGTAGTCCTTCAACAGCACATTCTTAGTATTATTGGTAATGGTTATAAATTATAAACAGGGCTGAACTTCAAGACCTGTGGATCCTCCTTTTTGTAATTGAAACAAAACCAAACAAATGCCATATTGGGAATGACATTGTGTCTTGCAAGATAATGCAGCAGCCAAAATTGAAGATGCTGGTACACAAGCGTGTTGGTGCACGAGACAAATTTCCTCTGCTCACTGCAGTGCAAGGTCTCTGAAACAGCTGGCATAATATTGCTTATATTTGTTGTATAATTCTGTTTTATAATTTTAACTTATTTATAAAAAGTATACCAGTAGTTAAAATATTACAAAACCTTATTTAATATATTCAAAAAGTTGTAGAAATAGTAAATTAGTTAAAAAATGCCTTTCATATTTATAAAGAAAAAATATGGTTTCAAAATTTATTGGTGCCTCCTCTGAGGTTGAGCCCTTAGGTAGCTGCCTAGCTTGCCTAGGCAAAAGTCCACCCTTGATTATAATTAGGGAATGGAATTTCACCTAAATACAAATTTTTTACTGAGACAAGATATCTACATTCAATACATTTATGTAAAGTAAAAATTGTTTTAATTCATTCAGAATATCATCTTAAAAAAAGTTATTGATAGCAGACATCTCATATCTGTAAAAAATTGTTAAAAAAGCTATATTTATATTTGTTATTTTAATATATTTACATGTCAAAACGGAATATCTCGTATGAGATTGCAAATAAATGCTCCTGGAATCGTCATTCTGAGAGACAAAGCAAAATAATTATGCACTTCTATGAACCCCAGAGCCTCACTGTAAGATGTCACACTTACCTCCTGCTTCTCGAAAATTAGTATGTATTCAAAATCAAGGATAAACTGAAATTTACAAAACAGAAGTAATTACAACTACATGCTCACTCTTGTTTCATAGAGCCCATGCATAAACTCAATTGAAATCTGGCAGACTCTCCTTACAGACCATTATCTTACCTGCATCCTAATGAGAAATAGAAATATACACCCTTACCAAAGATGTACAATTCAGAACTCTATTAATGCAATCTCGCTTGCTTGCACTTAATGGGAATACTCCTTAGAAATGTGATACTATCAATATGTGGATTTCAATAAGTGCAAATACAATGTTGGAGTGTGGACTATTTATCATTTCCTGGTGCACCAATTACTTTGATCACTTGTCTCATAAGTGTAGTGCATGTCATATTCCAGAATGAGGAAGTGTTCACTCCCATGCAACATCCAAACCTGCATGTTAGCACGCGGATTTATTTCACCTCTAGATAACTCTTCCAGCCAGGATAAAATCTAAGCTCCCCGCATGTGTGGTAGTATGAAAATACATTTGAACTAGTTGCGCTAAAATAGCATGAACTTTCCCCTTTCCATTTACATGAAAAGGCCTCAAATTTTCAAAAAATTGTACATGATCTTATTTCAAAATCTATCTGTAAAGAACACATTTGATTAACGGGAAAAATCTTTACCTTATTTTAATTGTAGGAAGATGCTGATACAATTTTGAACTTTCGCTATTCTCAAAAAATTAGGGTTTTCCACAAATATTAGACTTGCACCATTCTCTTAATCATCCTTCACACTATCTAACAAAAAAAATTAATTAAAAACTATAGAGCAATTTTTTTGAAAATCTCCCAAGGGCTTGATGCAAAGTACCACCAAATTTGAAATATCGGTTTCAAATTGCAGGCATCGATGTCAGCCAGGGAATATCAATTTTGGAGTAAATCGACTGAACGGTTTAGCTGCTAGTATTGTTCACAGACAGGCGTTTTGCAGTCATAGAAATTTTCGGTAACGAGGACCCACAAAACATGGATTTTGGCTACACTAGAGGATTCCCCCCCCTTAATTGAGCATCTGGATTTATCCACTTTCTGATTACCAGGGCCTTGTAATACGAGTTTTTCTGCCGACAATTCAGTTTTTTTCACGCAACATTACAAGAATTCTCTCTACACTGGAGGGAAGAATTAATAGGCAGACAAAGGGGACAAGGATCCTCAACAAAAAACAAGGGAAGATCACATACGGTTGTGGCCTGCTTAAGGCACTCCTCTAGCATTTGCCCGTTATTGACCAGAGAAACCATAGAAAATTAATAATTAGAGCAGCTACCACATAGAATTTTCACCTAGACAGTGGCAGCAGTATTCTACTATAAGGTTTGATCAGTAACATTTTGTGCGCAAAACTCAAATATGCACATACAGGTTATTTTACACACTACCATGATTTTTTGATTTTTTTCTTACATTTTTTGAAAAAAATAAATATATAGGCCTCTATATAACTTCTGTTCCTTAATTATATCGGAATTTGTATCCTACTAACAAAAACTCATTACATGAAGTGCAAAACGTATTTTAAAAAACAATACTTCAATTTTTGAAAATTCAGAAGCTCAACTGAAAATTGCTTTCTACCACTAAAATCAATGTGTTATGCTACATTCTCCCAAAAAGTTTAAAGGAAGCGGTAAACAAAAAACACTTAACCAGCTGGGATTTCAAACACTGACAAGCCAAGATGACAATTAATCTGTGTCAGAATATCTCCATTTATTACATTGTAATGATTTATGTTGTGATAATTCTCATACTTAACTCAAAATTAAGCAAAAACTAGAAAATATGTTCAAAAAAGTGAAGATCAAGTATTAAAGAATACATTGCACTTTTTTACTAAGAAATCTCTAGCTTCAATACAGGTGTATTACATACTTTGATGGTTAGATGGAAGAGCAGCTCTGATGGCTCGAGACTCGCCATATAAATAGTCTATTATTTATTATTATTAATAATAATTATTATTATGCTTCCGAACCTTTTTTTTTTTTTCAAAATTCGACAGGTTTGAATAAAAATTACATTTATGCCATATTTTTAAGCAAACTTTGCTCTACTTGAGCAAAAAGTTTCAAGCAATAGTCTGGAGCCCTATTTTAGAAAATCTTGAAGAAAAACCGACACATAATTTCACTGTCACAAATCTAATTTCTGGAAAATTGCACATGACATTTAAAGATCTTGAGTTTTCTGATCTCTTATTAAAAATATTTAAAGAACAGATTTCATTCAGAAACAATCTCTATCTTCAATACTGTAGATATAGAAGGGTATCGGGGGAAAAAAATTTAATTTTTGAAAATTCAGCTGTTTTATTGAAAATTGGACCTGCACCATTTTTATTTGCTTACTAAGAGGTTTTACTAAAAATTGAACAGTTGTATGTTGAGAAAAAACACTTTTTCAATACAAAGGGCAAAACATTCATTGACTATACTATATGTAAAATCAAATAATATACTATAAATAGGGCAAAGAAAAATCCACCTTTTCAGTATCAGGGTCCTCTATGGGAGTTGTCTGTAGAAAAACTTACACATTTTCTTGTAGCATTACATAACTTTCTATGTAGTTGATGGGACAACTAAAAAGCAGATTTCTGCTCAAAAACTTTTGAATGTGTCTAAATCTTGCAAACAGCCCAAATCTAATTTGCAATTATTTCTTGAGAACTCTTTTTAACATTACTGCATGAAAAAATCAGTTTCTCCTGAACTCATGGGTCAGGGCATATTAAGACCTCAGCTCTAAGACAAAAGTAGATACTTCAAGATATTGAAGTAATGGAAATTCTTCCTGGATCAACAACCATTATTCAAGCAAAGAAAATAATTCTTCTGACAGTGCAAGTTGTAATTTAGAAAATGATTGGACAAAATTATATCAACAACGAATTCAAGAAGCATTGAAGAAATGACGATTTTAAGCTTTATTCTTTTGTACACTACCAGTTTTCACTAAGTTTCAATCAATACAGTATGTGGCAAGCATACAGGGTATGAGAGAAGCCCCGTCATTTCTCCCCCCCACTCAATTCTATCTACAAGACAGACCATATGTGAAGGACAATAATGTATCCAGGGATCTTCAAACTATTTGTTTGAATTTAAGGTAACAAAATTTTCGAATCTCAATTCAAATTTCAAATGGACACGCATATAAATGAATCAATCACTAAATTATGCACTATGTTACGTATTCAGAATCCTTCCGGATTCAATCAGCCTTTATATAGTTCATTGCACATAATTTGCAAATATATATTCACACTCGGGTAAGACATAATATTCTGTGTTAACACACCTGGACATTTATATTACAGCACAATAATTGTAAGAACAAACAAATGCCATCCACGTTGATTCCCACAAGCCTCTCTTCATAGTGCTTGGAATCGTATCATTGTCTTGCCAATTCAACAACAGATAAATGGTATTTGTCGTGTTGATTTACTTTAGTGAGAACATATTTTAATATAACACAGATACAATGTATATAATTACAACCATATCACAGCTATGATATGCATGTTGATTTTTGATTAGCGATTCTGAGCGTGTCAACTGCTAACGTCATTAGTCCTGTAAGTATAGGGCATGTTTATATTGTGGGAGGTGGCTGTCACTATGCTGGATGGCAAGATCTAGTGCCATTCTACCCATCAGCTTGTAAGGTTTCCTGAACCAGGTATCTCCCACAAGCAGGGCACTGTCCCAGCTGGGACAAGCTGTAAGCTCCAGACTGGTCATCCAGCATGCGCGGTAGTGTTGTGCGTGTACTGAGAAAGGATAAGACATGGAAGAGGAAGGAAAGATTGTGCAAGGTTCGACGCCTGTTTGTTAAGACACTGCTCCGGCATTCGACAAGTGTTAATAAGAGAAACTATGAATAACTACTGATCAGAGTAGCCAGACTCAATTCTAGAGACAGCACCTGAATTTGACCTAGCTATGTCGCTAGTGTTGGAAATTCTCCACTGCCAGGACTTAAACCCTGAGACCTGCCGGTCAGAGGCACTGCAGTGACAATTGATGCCCTGAGCCGCTCATCAGGTGTCCATACCTAAAGATTACTACAAAAATCCACTAGAATGTAATTTTACAACATGCCCCAGATAGCATACAATGATGAAAATCGATACACAAGTTTCAATGCAAAGTAAAATCTTTGTTGCAGCATAACAGTTCTGAGACAACTAAAGTCTACACAACCATAAAAAATGAAATTCATGGGAAAAAAACAACATTATCACCCACAGGAAAAAAAGTGGTACAATAAAAAATTAATAGAGAGAGAAAGGAGTATTTACCCAGATAGTTGTTGCATTTATATTATGTATAGAACATATTAACATACATAATATCACATTACATTCAAATGTAACAACATGCAAGGGTCGTCATCAAGAAATTGAAAGAAGAAAATCAGTCTGGTAGGAGGCATTTAACTGTATTTAATTATCTAAACGCATTAGTTACCAATCATATTTTATAATACCAAGACTAAATCCACCAGTAATAACTATCATACTTCAGCTTGTGGAACAATGCCCCCCATATTTTCAAGTTTTTGTCTAACTTCCCATTGGTCCATTGGGCAAATGCTAAGGAGAGTCCTTGATCTTCTGATGATGAATATTCTTTACCAGCACATTTTGTAGAACTTTTTTAAGCGAGTTGCAGGAGAAGGGTTGAGGTTGTGGTGTAGTCAACAATACTCTACAAGTCTGTAGTTCATTTGCTGAAACAAATATGCTATTACTCAGGATTGAAAATTTCTAGTTCTCAGATGTTGACCGTGTTAGTTATTACTTTTATTCATTTTTATTCAACCTAGATGAAGATTGATACGGATTTTGGAGCTGAAGAAAATTTTTGGAGAACAAACTTCTCGCCATTTGTCACAAATTTTTTACCGTTTGACAAATAAAAGCTGAAGGAATAACTCCTGCATTGGTGTTACTGTCCCCACATTTGTCACACTAACCTACAAACAGCATCTCTAGACAATACATTTCATAGATGCTAAAATTTAGACACTTGACTAAAGTAAAATTTTTTGTCACTACCCAATGACAAATTACTAAAACTATTATCACGAGTGGAAGATTCTCCTTGTTGAATGAAACATTAAGAAAGAAAACACGAGCAGCGTGGTAAAATCAGTTTAGTCAAACGAGATGCACCCTTCATGTAAAAATCAGCAAAATTAAAAGTAACTGTAAAATAATAAAATATCTTAATACTTGGGAAATATGTACAACCATCATTTATTTTCCATATTTTTCAACATGCTACAGACAATTTTCAATCACACTTCGTTACTAGTTTAATTGTTGTCCTATTATAAACATAAATACAATTAATGATGAGGTTCTCTCTCCTTACGGCGAATTTCAGCCCATTTTGCCTTGTTTTCAGGAGAGTTGGCTGAAATAAACAAAAAGCACTAAATTATAATATTGCAAACATTACAATTCCTGTTCCCAATAATACAAGTGAAACTCATCCACTAAGTAATTAAATCTCACAAAATTCCCTTTAACATAATTAAAGAAAGATCTTTAAATTACAACTCAAAAATACTATATACTCCTTATACTTACACAAACGACTAATGGAATAGAAAACGGGCGCACAAAGTGCAATAGAAATAAACCAATAACGCCAAACCCACTGATTATTCAAATGCCATTTCAAAGGAAATTGTGCGATCTTAGCACTAAAAGTGTATGGGTACACCATCCTTCGATCTGCCATCTGGAAAAAATACAATTTTTAGAAAATAAGGTTTAAACAAAAAAATCAGTCATTTTGTACATTTTCTTTGAAACTCCACTTCCAAAGCAACATATCATTTAGAAAACAAAAATTCAAATCCCTTTATGATTAGAAAAAGTATTCAAAATGATTTGTCAGAACAAATTACCTCAAGCAAAGATGAATTTATAACCTAAAAAACACAAAAAATTTAGCAAAAATTGCAAATTAATATTCCTTAATACAGTCCACAAGATTCAGTGATAAAACATAAGAAAAATAACTCCAGTCCAAAACTATGAAAGAAATCTTTCTGTAAGATGGGCTTTAGAATAGTATGAAATTATAAAATTATATTACATAATAACAAATTTCAACACAAGACTATATTCTGATTCAAATGTAACATGAATTGACAGTCATCAGCTTGGACAGAATTATCCCATCAAGAACTACATTACAAAATAATTTATTGATGTTGAGACTCCTAGTTGTATAACCTAATCCCAGCTGATTAAAAGACAATTCACTCTACATTTAAATTGGAGTAAAATACACCCTAACATTTTACACGCTTCATATGGATATATCAACTTCGGTTATTTCATTTAAAAAATCATAAATTTTCAGAACAAATAACAATAATGGTTATAATATGCATGTACGTTACTAGTTACAGTTTTCTTCAACTCTACATTACTCAGCATTATTTTGAAAGGATACATCTAACGTATCTCTGACAAGCACAATCTCTGTGAAAGTTCATTAAACATACAAATAAACAAATGATATGCTTATGACATTCTACTTTCTTCATTCACAAGAAATGACGATACATTTCATAAAACTCTGCACAACTCCTTGTTAATTTCATCTCTCTGCAATCTGGAATAAGCAGACAAATCCAGTATTGCAGGCTGGATGGCCACACGCCTCAAAAAATTGTACTAAAAGAATTCAGAATAAAACAATGAAATGGCATTAAAGGATTACAATGCCAAAAAGCATCATAATGATCAAGTAATACTGACACTCCTCATTTTTCAGTTATCCCATACCGAAGTATTTTCTGACGATTCAGGTCTCTGAAAGAACACTTCGTATGATAGGAACACGATTCTAATTAGGTTTTATCTTTCTTCAACAAATTAAGATCCATTTACAAATTCGTATTACGGAATGGAACTCTCCATTACAGTTTCTTCTAACGAAAAATCATATTTCGAAAGTACATACAAATAATTACCAATTTCACAGCAAATAAATTCAATACCTTGGTGAAGAGAAATATGCTCGATATATTCCCAAATGCAGTAGCCAAATCCGCCAGATGACCCCCAAATGAAACGAACAGCAAGGAACATCCACACCAGTTCGATCACGCGTAGTGGGCAAGGGAGAAGTTATCTTTCTATGACTCACGGAGAAAATAATTCATTGCGAGCGGGGAGTACAATTTGACACCGAGATCAAAATCGATATGTAAAATTACATACGGTACCGGATTACGAGAACAAAGGCTCAAAGTCGCTATATTTTATGAATTTATTTCTTATTTTGGTGACTAGTTTGACACAGTTTCCTTTCTCACCCTTACACCGTAAGATGAGACAGTACTGAAATAGTACGCCAGAAAACGGCGAATATTGGACATTGGTCTTATTTTCGTTGAAATACCCGATTTTTCGAAAGTTGAGAATTTTCTCCCCCCCCCCAGTGCTTAAGTGCTTCATTTAACAGATAGTTAAACAGACGATATTTTCGAATGATTCGTGCGTTGCTGATCACATCGAACCTACGGTAGCTTCAGTGGAAGCCTTTTTTAAAAATGTATTTATTTATTTATTTATTTATTTATATTAAGTTGTGTAAGAATTTCATACATTATTAAATATTAATTTATCGATACTCACTGTTTCTCTTATTTCATTTTTAAAAATAGCAACAACAATAAATTATAGAGTGTAATACCACAACAGCAATTGAACAGAAATACCAGTTTAAAAAAAATTCAATATGCAAATTTAGAAACTTGTGTTGCAGACAAAGTCAAGAACGAGTGAAGACCCAATTAATTAGATACTAAAACAAAAATAATACTCCTTCTCATGTAATCAATGAACACGATATCACAGTGCACATGGCACAACAAAAACATAAAATAGTGGTTTCTTAAATTTAAATAAAATAAAATTGAACTACAATTATTGTGTAATGTATCATATAGTCTGTAAATAATCTTATTGGTGGAACTCACTAGTTCTAAAAGCGGTTTATTTTATGGCTGGTAAGATGAAATAGTATATGAAATTGTTAAAACCATGTTTTGTATTACATCATATATGACATCAAACATATCCTTTTCGTTTTGATAGAATGTCAAATAATTTCTGTTTAAATTATCGTGTGTTAGGTATTTTATTCTTCTAATTTACTTGGCCATAAATTATAATTTGGGTTCGGACTTAATTTTCATTATATTACGCATCTTTAAATGTATCCGATCTGCTTTGCAACAAGGTGAATTCTGTCTGCCGGATTGACTCCATAGCGGTTGTATGGAGAACCTCATGATATAATAACACGATCCTATCGCTGATATCTGAGAAGACAGACCCCGAAAATAGCGCACATAAAAAGGAATGTTTCTATCGGTTAAACTGCTAACAGTAAGGATTGCCGTCTACACGATATACGCCTTTCTCGATGCAAGGTTTTTCCAGGGACCTTCGCATAGCGGTTTTCGCTTACGAGAACGAGAGAGAATATGCGGGATTTGATCACCCTTTTCACGACTTTTCCCTTTCAATCTTTCTTTATGTTTTTTCTGTCTAGGCCCCCTTTTTTTGAATCCTCATTTGCATTTTTATGAAATAGGGGAGGGGTGGGAGTGTGTAATCTAAGGTTCCTGTGACGGCTGTTAACGCCATAGTCGGTTCACCCGATTTCGGGGAAACTAAAGACAGATTTGTTGATAAAGAACAGTCCAAACCTAAAGTTCGCAAACTGAGTTTACTTGAACGAAAGGAAGAAGCCTTGATTACATTAGTAACGTATTCATTAGCTTGAGTTGTTCATCTGAATTGGGCCTGATATTTATCGGTGAAAGCTTACGAATAATTATAAGATTTTTTTAGTGCTAATGAAATTGAAAAATTGACTTGACGTACGTTATTAATAATACATTATTACGATCATTATAAATTTACTTCGGTAAACTGAATTTACAAAATGCCGAATTACATTGACATATCAATATTTCATACAAGGCTATTTCGGTCTGAGATGCAGATAATCACGGACAATATCGGCCGCGAGATGATCATTTTCCCCTGATGTCAGACTACTTCGGGGCCAAGGTACTTTGTAAGAAACGTTCGCAGTCAGAAGCTGCAGCATCCATGGAAATTTTTCTAGCTTTATGATTGGCAGGCATAATATGCTTGTTGGCGAACTGGGAGTGGTTGATTACTCCGTGTGGTTTGTCGTACGTCGTGGTCTTCGGGTGCCACGCTGATCTAAAATTGCCCTGTACGTCAGTGTACGTGTAAATCTGAATTTGAGTTCGAAGAGGCAAGTGTAATAGGAGAAATGGCGAATTTAAGTACGGTTATCGGCAAATTTTATGGAGAATATGTGAATAACACTCCCAAGAAGTTGAAAATAATCGATTCATATTTGTTATATGTATTTTTAACCGGTGTCATTCAATTTGTGTACTGTTGTTTGGTGGGCACATTCCCATTTAATTCCTTTCTGAGTGGATTTATTTCCTGTGTCAGTTGCTTCGTCCTTGCAGGTCAGTAATTTCCCCACGATTTGTATTACTTTTCGTTGAAGGGTTTATGAAATTAATCTTGTGTTTTACAGTATGCCTCCGGCTGCAAGTTAACCCTCAAAATAAAAATCAGTTTTATGGAATAAGTCCAGAAAGAGGGTTTGCCGATTTCATCTTTGCCCATATAATTCTACACATTGTCGTCATGAACTTCATTGGCTGAACTATGGTAAATTAATATGACAAGCGTGGATCAAATTTCAGAACATTTTTTTGTTTTTGTTTTAAATTTGTTAATTAATGAACTTTCCTTCAGGTTGGCTGGAACGTGGAACTAGTATTCTTAATAATCAACCTCTGTACTGTGGTAAATCAAATGGAAACTACAAGAAGACAAACAAATTTTGTTCTATTACATGTGTCAAAGGTTCTGGAAGAAGGGTCTGAAGATTGTGAAATGCCACTGTACAATATATAAAAAAAATCTTGGAGACATGGCAAATTTACTTCATGATTACAGGTGGTAGTATTATTAAAGAATCTGTTCCAAATCCAGTATGAAAGAGTGAAGTGTTCAAACGTTGTGAATGATGTAATGACACCTAATATGGTCTGAAATATTTGGGGCTTCATTTGCACATTGTTTTTGTTTAGATTATGGATTAAAAATGTAAACATCAAAATTTGATTAAAATGACTTTACTGTATCAGTGGACTTATTATTCCAATGCTCAAACCTTGAGTGCCATGTTTTATAAATTACTTTAGATGGTAGATGTGTGTAACAGGACCTCATTATCTGAAGTTTCATTATCCATCCTTTGTATTCCTTTCCCATTATCCAAGTGTTCAAAGATCTAGTAATTTGCTGCATTTCCATTTTTCAAATATGTAGTGATCATATTGTCTACCCCACTTCCAGAACGATTTTGATACAAAAATAAAATCCATAATTATTGCTTGTGAATTGAAATGGAAAATACTTCCTTGATCAGGTGGCAAAATAGTAGGGTCAGTCTACCAATTATTGCCTCTGTGCCTAATATCACCTACTCATGTTTCCAAGGTGCTATGTGAAACTTGGTTCTGGCATATGCAGTTATATACCAGGACTATAAATTTAGGCGGCATTCAGCACAGGTGATAATTTGTACACTGATCCTACTTGTAAAAATACTCATATAGAGAAGATTTTTGAAGCAATGAAGTGCAGAGCATACGGGCTCAAAAACAACTTAAAGTTCAAAATTTGAGTAAATTTGTGAATTCTTTTTTAGGAGATTCCCACAAGCTTAATCTGTGAAACTTTGTATTCAATAAATAAAAGTAATAGGTATATTAGAGATGGAGAACTAAGTATTTACATCTCTTTACCTAGGACTTGACTTATCTACTGAAATGACTAACTGCATTTATGAGATTCCATAAAATGTATTCTATAAATGCTTTTTCTGGATCTACCAAAGCTATTAAAAGGGGTTACATTGTGCTTTCAATGTGACATTGACTATGAATATACATGATCCAATGGAATATAAATTCATAAGAGGACTTGTCAGATTTAAATATAGTGACTTATGTAAGATCATCAGCTGCCTAATTCATCATGACTAATTTTTGGTATTGAAGCTAATGGATAACTGCATCACAGCTGATATTCTGTCATAAGTCACTATATTTAAATCGGACAATTCACTAACTAGCTAGGGAGATCTTATGACCTTACACAGAAAACCTATGCAAGACTCAAATTAATATATCATTTGAGTATTTTGAAATTAAAGAAAGTTAATATTTTAGCCATGACCAAAATATTGTGACCTGAAGTCTTGATCATAGGTCCTGGGCTCTCTCGACAAAATACAGACTACGCAAAATGGCCACTCCCTGGGAAACTGGGCAAAATCAGAATTTCCTGGGGATTAAAATGCCAGGTAATTTGTAGAAGAATCTTTAAAGTCAAACTTTTTAGCACAGCTGTTTTGGGGCTCAAATCCTATTTATTAAGCAAATATTATTTGTTCAGTCTTTATTGTGCTGAAAATAGACCAAATTGTAAAGAAATACCCAAGCCTTGCTTCTCTTTTATATCTTATGAGTGATAAACAAACAACAATGCAATGGAGAACTTTAGAAAAGTCAGGGGTATTTGTTTCAGGAAGGGTCTACCTTGCTATAAAAACAAAACCAATAAATAAAAATAACCATGTTGGAACAATTATTAATTAAAAGAATCACTGTCAGGAAAAAGCTGCTTTAAAATGTTTGAAAATCTGTCATCATTCTGCGACAAGCTAATTTTATGGTGACAGTATTATATTATTTCTTTTTAGTGGTGTCGTGGAAGCATTGAACAAACAACCAGTTTATGCCAATGTCTAAAATTCCATTAAAGAACTGCCATCAAGCAATATGCTGCTTTACTTGTTTGAGATAATTCATTTGCAATTTTTTTTCAAAAAGAAAATATATCTTCCATTTGAGAATTACAGAAAAGTAGCACTTCTTGTTTCCTGGTTGTTATCATTTCATCATAGCAATCATGCATTGCAGTGACAACAATGGCACTTCCCTTCTTGGGGACAGATGAGGGCAGCATTAAATTCTTTGGTTTGGCAAAAAGAAGAAATCTTCAATATCAGGATTATCTACACTGCAACTTGCCAATGCCATGATATGACAGAAGCTTGAGAACACTTAGAAATCCAATTCCTTAGCACTTGCAAAAACCCCTGCCAATGACCCTGGGTTCTGAAGTCCCCAAATCTCCTTATTGGTCATATCTAAAGAGAATGAAATATGACTAGTAGTGATCATTACTACCTCAGCAAAGAATTTACATCAACTACTGAAATTTTCCCCTGATAAAAATAATAAATCATATCCTGAGGACCAAGGATACGGACTAGGATACAAATAAATAATATGAAATAATTCAATACTTTATCAGGAAGAGTTATCAGGTAATGAAAACTAATAAAGAACAAGCAATATTTTTTGTTCATCCATCATTTAACTAAAATGCAGTAACTAAGTGAAAAAGCCTTCCCTCCTCCTGCAGGATTACATTAGTCAACGAAGGTGAGTACATCTTACATAATTTTGGTGAGAAAATTGATTATGGAATATCCAAAAAGGGCAAGCATTACAGTCTAGATTATGCTACTCTGAAATCTTCCTGAGCAAGGGAAGTGATGAGCTACTGAGACATTGCTCACTCAAAATAATGAACTGTCACCTAGGCCATAACCAAAATTATCCCAGTTGATTCATGAGGGCATGCACCCTGTTAACAGAACAGAAATGTGTGAACTACATCCTGCACCAATAGGTGATTGAATAAGGCTTCCCAGAGGTGTTTTACAGCAAAATACTCATGACCTGCCGGAACACACATTTTATATTCCAACAAACATATCTAAGATATTAACTTGTTAAGTTTAGGATATTACTTATCTAAAGGGCAAATTGCAGCAAATTCGAATATGAAACCTCAATATCCACCCACCTACGCTACAATCACCAATAAAGTTTAAAATGGTTCCTACTTCTTGGAATACAAGAGCTTTTTATCAGCAAGTGTACAACGTCTCTCTCTTCATACATAAATGTTGGGACTTTCTTTTCTTGCCATAACATATCATTTAAAAAAATATGTTCACAAAAATGGACTTTTATACCCCCTCCCTCCCCTTTGTAACAATTCTTAGACAATTCAAGAGACCCCCTCTTGAATGAACATATGTACTACCCCCCCCCCCCCACAACTCACATTTGCAAATAAATCTGTTTTACTAAACCATAGACTTTTATAGTCGCCTATTAGTAAGTTAGTGTAATATCAGTTGCAAGATTACAGTTCTTTATTTAATTAGTAAACAATAAATAAATTATATAACCTTCAAACAATTTACCTTAATACAAGAATGAACTGATACATCCAAATAAATAAATAATCCTTAAAAAATGAAATTTGAATCAGAAAGTTACTCTTTTAATGATTATATTCACATTATCATATTCCAAAACACACTGAGCTTGAACAAGTTAACCATATTTAAATTACATCAGTAAATACTGGCAACCTGTTTTATTAACGAAACAATCTAATTCTAAGCAATAGAGAGCACACTACATAAAAATTCATGAAGAATAAGGATGGTTGGCATTTGTGGCTAATTGGTTAATTTGTCATGTAAGTTTGCAATATTGATATAAATTTAAAGTAGAATAATAGCTAATATTTCTTACATGAACATTTCTAATTCAGCCCTCCCTTCCTTGCAATCACATCTCTCCCCTCCTCAAACAGCAAACTTATTTTTTGAATGATCAGTAATGACAAGATACAGAAAACTCCAACATTTTGTCTCCACAACTATTATAAAACGTGCTATGTATACACAATGTAGCGTCTCCATATTACTGATCATGTATCTACTCTACTGTACTACTCAGAATTTCATGTCCATATATTCACTCTTCTCTCAGGATGTCATAAATGAAAAAGCACCATCAAACTACACTTGGACAGAAGAAAGTTACTACGTACAATATACGGGTAGTTTCAGGGTGTGCCATGATTTTGAAATTACATTTCCTGAACTCCATATTTCAAAAATACTGCACATTAAGAAAACTCACACAAGGTTTAGAAAAGATATTTAGGATTTTTTGTGATAAAAGGAAGGGTCACAATATTCAACTTATTAAAAAAATTTAACATTTCTTTTCATTTCATAAACAATTTCTATCATCACTTCTTTAATTTTTAGAAAGCTGTTTAACTAAAATAATGTACACTTCAGATAATGATCAACACTTCTGCTAGTCAAAATAATATAAAAATTCAACTACTATTTTTCATGTATCTGGCTGATACTATAATATATGCTAAAATGAGAATAAATATAGTGCTAAATAATTTAGTAAAAGTCGAAAAGCACAATGGGAAAATAATTTTCTTGTTATTTATGTTTGACATTAAACTTCTAGGAATTGTAGAAATAACTACTTCAAGGATTTTTTTATAATAACACGATGGTTCTGAACAGCCTCAACTCACTCAATCATCATATTTATTCCACACACAATACTTCTATTAAGAACCTCCTATAAAAATCTAGCAAAGCTAGAATTGAAGTAAGGTATATAAAGTGACCACAATTCACATCAGGTGGAAAAGATGCTTTAAAAGTCATATATTGAGATATAAATAGCTTTATTTCTCATAGCTGCAACTTAACGTTGAATTAAAATTAATAAGAACAAGCAACACAATGGAAAAAGAGGAAAAAGCATTCAACCGTCATATACCTTGGGTAATTGAGAATTAGAAAATTAAGCAATGAATTTTCTCAAATACTGATATACACATTTAAGAGTAATCTAACTAATACAATTATCATTTGGCATTCCAATTTTTTAAAAAAAAATTAAAATACACAAATACTTGGTGCACAATTGAAAGCAACAGATGGTAGACTTGCTTAGAAAAGCACTGAGCACACCTCAGACCATATAAGTATTTCAAAAGAAGGCAGTGACACGTCCATAATTAATCAAAGTGCACCAAGAGTCGGTGGGATGGTGATATTTTAGAAAATAATAGCAAGTCTGCAACTGCTTGTAATAGTACAAACAAATAGGTTTAAGGATGAATGATCAAAACTATTACATCACTATTATTCAAAATGATATTTTTTTCTTTCATTCCTGTTGATTCAACAGTACCTCTCTTTGCCTGAGCAAATCTCTGTACAAATATGGGAATGGCACTGAAGACAGAAGCAGAGCTTGCAGAATCTTTTTGCATACAAAGTATGATGGTTCACATATATTAGTTTATTTTTACCTATTAATATTAAAACTGACTAGTAACAATAGCCTGTCCATAATAAACATAGTTAATGAGAATATGCACAACAGCATTGCCAAAAATACACCCTTAGGGTTTTACAGCTATACTCACAAAATAAAATGCAAATCTTGTGCTTGCTCGGCAAAGACAAACATCACTAATTAGTGATAAAAATGATTAAAGCCTTTTACTGCTTTCTATGAAGACTTCCACAGATATATAAAGCTATCCACATTATACATGCCCCCAATTGGCTGTTTACAAATTTTTTTTCAAGTGAAAAAAGTTCATTATGTGCAATATTTGGACAATATACAACTTCCTGCGACGGAAGTACATTTCAAATTCAAGTTAATCAAGCAGCAAATGGAAAAGCATATGATGGAAAAGTACATGATGTTTACAGGCAGTTTGAAGACATGTTCTGACACTTTTTTAATGATTCACAAAAAACAGTTAGGATTGGGATGTTTATTCTACTAAGGAAGACAAAATTCCAGTGAAAGCTAGGGGAGGCCATTAGACTAATAACGTTGATTTAATAAATTACAGTAAAAAATGCATAATTAAACATGTGTAACTGGAACAACTACATTTATACACTGCCTCAATATTTAGTGCATTATGAAATTGTGCACTTAATGATTTATTCTGACCAAGGTTTCAGTAACTTGCAAGAATATCTAAATTCAATAATATTAAAAAACACAAAAACATTTATGTCAGTAAGACAACGATATTTGTAATATGTGAAATTAGATGCCTGTCCATCCACAAATCACTTCAGCCCCTCAACTACAAAAAGCATAAGTTTTCATGCCCATCCACCATTATTATCGTCATCATTTTTACCACTGTAAAATAATAGATCAAGCAAGACTGAAAGAGCTTGTTGATTTTAACACACACTATATTGAGACAAAATTAGGAGTAAATTTTGTAAATGAAGTTGAACTAGCAAATAATACAAATAAAGAACACTCCCTGGTCATTGGTCTTTTCTCATCAAAATTCATGTGTTGATATAGCTACAGTAAATGAATCTGAATCAAATTGTTTGCAATCAATGCTGTAGATAAGTGGACTAAAAATACACAAGAATTATAGAATACATGAAAATCACCTTTATATGAGCAAAACGGATCTTTTACCTCCTTGGCAGCTTAGTTTAAAAAATGACACACCCTTCCTCAGTTCTCAACACTACGCCATCGTGTACTCCTGACTTCTTAGAAATTTTATCTACTACCTCTGCTTTTTTTTGAAAAATGAGAAAGCAATTGTGAAAAAGTTAACCATAAATGCTCATTGCTACAACATACTGACATTACATCAACACAAAAATTCAAGTACACAAGTAGTATGATATTCAAGAGTACCACCATAATGAAATCTTTTGGAAATTTCAAGACTATCCCAAACACACACTGAGAAAATTATAAGTGCTACAGAGCACATCTTTTTTGTTTGAGCAGGAATGGAAAATGTACAAGACATTTCAGGAAAGGGGAAGTCCTTGAGCATAGCATTCATACCTGGAGAAGAAATGATAACTTACAGGTTCAAAATAACAATCTTTTTCTTTCACTGAGGCTGAGTATTTATTGCACGCTGCAACTCAACTTTATTAAGTAGTATGAAACCACAAATAAGGCATCTCAAATCCCATGCAAAAGCATAGGTTCCAAGATCCAAATCCAAGAAGAAATGTGCAAGTGTTCTGGTTTAGAGAAAGTTATCATTTCCAAGACATAAAAGAAGCAGCATAAATGCTGAATAAATTTACAAAACACCGGGAACACACAGCATCAGCAGATCTCTTCCAAAGCTATTTGCTCCTGCTATTCAATCCGTACTTGAAGGTGGTGCCACACATTCAGTATTCAATGAGCTGTAAGTGACCAATTGCTGAATCTCAAGTAGTGTAAGTGGGTTGCTACCTCTTTCTGAGCAACGAACATTTGGAGCTTGCCATAACCACTGGATGTGGGTCTTTTGGACAAACCAAAGGAAGTAAACATTCGCTAAGTGCATCATTTGTAGGGATATGACACACTGTAGCTTGCTACTCGGCGAATGCGGAATGTGTGGAGCCACCTTGATACCCATGTTAATATACATTCAACCCAAGACAATTTGCTCAATTCAAACTTTGTCCTACTATGCATTTTGCATGTGAATTGTAATACTGTATCACTTAGTATTTCAGAAGTACATATATATATGGCAAACTGATTCTTCTCGCTTCACTCTTTTGTACGACTAATTAATGCACAAATAAAAGACATAGTATTGCATGGACCTGGAAACAAAATGAGCAAATTCCTTGTACTGTTTCTGGCTCCTGTGAAGTACAGATGAAATTGCTGGTAGGAGATGCTACTCTAGAGATCTCAGCTTGTTCAGTCTTATTTTAAGACATAACTAGTTGTCATGCTATACACTATACATATATATACAGTTATTCGAACAATTTTCTTCCCACCAGTTACTGGTTACTGAAATTGATCCTGCTTGTACCAATTGAAGCAGAGTTGCAAGAACTCAAACCACAACTAGATGTGTCAACTAAGAATGTAACACTTGGATACCAGTTCCAACTAGTTTCCATTTTTTTCATTTTAACAGTGGGACAGAATCCTATACAGCAGTTCTGTAGGACTAATTCTTCACCTAATGAATTTCAAGTCCTCCATTAACATTTAAATCTTACATTGTATATCTCTGACCAATTATAGACAAAAGGGCCATAACATATCTTAAGCTTCCTTTACAAATATACTGGACAGATGCAAAACCTTACACGCTCCACAAATGCCAAGTTTTGTTCCACAGGCATTAACTTTATCGCTATATTAGAATTCTTTCCTTATTCTGACTCCACTAACAATAACTCCTGAATGAATATGAAATGGTTCTGCAACACCCAGACCCAGCAGCAAACACGGAACCTTGAACTTCTTAGTTCTTTAAAAATTCTTTGGAAGGCCCTGTAAAGGCAACTAAGAATGCAGCAATATGGGCAAGGAAAATATATACTCAATGTACAATTAAAAGAAAAGTAACTGCCCCAAGATTTAGTCAAACTTATTGTCAACAAAAATATAGAACACATCCTTAATCTACTAAAGTCTGTGTTTTCAGGTAAAAAATAAAATTTTCTTAATGTCACACAATAGTTAAAACTAAATTTCTTATTTACAGTACGGACATTGAAACTTAACGTCTATTTTATACTCAGGATTTACTCAAAAAACATTCCCAAGTTTCAGTCCTTTCTGTGAAATCTGTATGGCTAAAACACCACAGCATATTAATATTATAGTTGACATTCTGATAGGAAACTGAAACCTGATGCCACAAAGAAGTCCCATAATCACATCCAACTATTCTTACTGCTTTTATGTATACTTCGATTGGACAAATGCCAAGCTAAGAAAAATCCAAAGGAATCACAATGCAGCATGCTATAAGAAGAAGGATGTTTGAAATGCCTTCAAAGATACCTGGTTGTCACTAGCTCAACTGTCAATATGACGTTGTCGTAGGCTAGAATTAGGAGAAGCATTGATAATATGATCATCGTCTTTGTCCTGCTGCATTTCATCTTTTTGATCAGTTTCACTTGGACTAGTTTCAGGCTCAGCAGGACGATGTTTCTCCATATAACGCCGTCTTGCAGCCATAAGTAACTGATCTTTGCGAAGTTGCAAAATTCGTTCACGCTCAGCAGAAGATTTAGAAAATCTTCCACCAAGATTGGCAGATGTCTCCACACTAAAAGAGAGAAGATAAAAATTAATTTATTTTATGATCTAATGAAAAGAAAGCAAAGAAGAAATAAACATAACCAAACCCTTTTCTATAAACATATTTTTTCACAAGAATTTTCCAACAAAAAATAAAAGCAAACTTTGAAAAAAACTGAAAACTGGTGATCATACTAATAGACAATAAAAAGTCATTAACTCGCAACAATTTTCTACTCCAAATCAGGTTTCAAACAACATACTATCTTGTAATGATACCTGAACAGCAGCTTTATTTGCTTAATATTTTAATTAAACTTTAGCCTCCCAAAGACACTATAAATATTCTTGATTAACATAGAAATCATAAGCCTCCACCTTTTGACTCAACTGAGACAGTTTTTAATGAAATTTCACAACTTAATACTTATCAAAGGGTTCAGGCTCAGACGATTTCCTTAGTCGTTTCTTGAAGCCGTGCAATGCCATATTGCACGCTTTATGTCTAGTTGTTAGCAAGTCTTTATTTCTGGTTATATTTCCTTCTTATTAGAAATTCAGTAAAATAGTTCTCTTTCTAAAGTCCAGCAGCAGTCATGATATGACCAACTATCTTTAATCTGTTTGTGGCCACCGAGTTCAATTACCCTTGCCGATTATGAACGATATTGAAATCAAGTTAAATTTGTTGGTTCTGCACAACCTAGTGAAAGGACAATGGCCATCACGTGCAGTCCATCTGAATTCTTGCATTTCAGCAGTTCTGTACTGGGTGTAATATATATTGATAACTGTTAAATTAAAAAAAAATATTCATGTCTGTATTAAATTGTATACTCCATTGTTGGTTTTCGTTCAGTTTTAATTGTTACCTATGACCAATAAAGTTGCATAAAATAAACCATGAAAAGTGCTGAAATGATGAAAGAAGTAGCAAAACATATTAAAGTACTCTTTCAATAGCTTTATCGGTGATTACTAAAAAGCTTGAAAGAAATTATTAGGGACGATATACAGGAGACAACAATAAGAAAAAAAAAACAAACAAAAAAACAAACAAACAAACAATTTAATATGATTCAAGTTTTGATTTAATTGTCTATAATTTTTAAAATTTTTCAGTCTATAATTTTTAAAATTTTTCAGTCTATAATTTTTTAAATTTTTCAGTCCCTTTCCTAAATTTCAGACACTTCCAATTAAAATACACTACTTCCAAACTTATAGCATAATTTTATTAAATAAATATTTTTGACGTTTTGAAGAAGAAGTAGGTTTAAACATTTTTTTGACTCCTCTCCCGTCTTACACAGTACTGGACAGTACACAGTCCAATGTATTGAATTCCACCAAAATTTGTTAACATTATCACCCATTATATTAATGACAATTTTACATTCCTTTTGACTAATGACCAAAACTATACAAATTAACTCTTTTTATAGCAACCACATGAAAAAGGTGTAATCTTCGACATTTCTCACTAACTGAACCCACTTATTCATACAAATGAATTTCACATGATTTTTTGGGGCCTCTATTACAGAATGGTCCATGTTACACTCCATGCCCATGATCACTTACTACAATTTTGTGGTCAATACACTTTACGGTTGACTTTCGTTGATGTAGTGGAGAAACAGAATAGCCGCAAAATTATTTTAATTAGTTCTCAACATGTATCAAAGTACAATGTAAATTCTTTCAGATCACCAGATGCACTGTGGCCAGACGTACCCAAACATGTACACGTCCAAAATGGTGTTATTCCTGTTTTTCATGGAGGGGGGCTTGCACCCCTCGTTGCTTTGTGTGGCACTATCACATCACAAGCCCATATTGATGTTTTAATCACCTTCTTGCTTCCCACTGTTGAGCAATTCGGAGATGGCGGTTGTATCTTTCAAAATGATCGAGCACATGTTCATACTGCACGGCCTGCGGTGGAGTGGTTACATGACAATAACATCCCTGAAATGAGCTGGCCTGCCAAGTCCTGACTTGGATCCTATCGAACACCTTTGTGATGTTCTGGGATGCTGACTTCGTGCCAGGCCTCACTGACCTACTTCGACACTTCAGTGCAGCACTCCATAAGGAATGGGTTGCCATTTCCCAAGAAATCTTCCAGCACCAGATTAAAAGTATGCCTACGAAAGTGGAAAAATGACATCAAGGCTAAGGGTGGGTCAACACCCTACTGAATTCGAGCATTACCGATGGAGGGTACCATGAACTGGTACATCATTTTCAGCCACATGTCCGAATACTTTTGATCACATAGTGTAGGTTTAATATAGACATAACAATTGCAAGCAAGGTAACTAGCTATCTAAAGTTTGTGGGTGGTTTGCTCTGTGACCAGTGCAACTGGCACATTGGTTGGGTTGTATAGGTCGGTATGGTTGTATTGGTTTTACAAAAATCTCTGGGGTGGAACATTTGTCAAAAAAATTTGTTCGCGTTGGGTCCAAGACTATTTGTCAATCGCTCAAGAAAAAGGCTCATGTTAATTGGTTGAAGGAAATGCTCAAAAAATACGATCGCAGTGCTTCAAAACACGTCTATGACATCGTGACAGGTGATGAATCATGGATTTATGCGTATGAGCCTGAAAGTAAACAGCAGTCGACTGTATGGGTGTTTCAAGATGAGCAAAATCCAACAAAAGTTGTTCGCGCACGAAGCACTTCCAAACAGATGGTCGCCTGTTTTTTCAGAAAAACTGGACATGTTGCAACCGTACCACTAGAAAAACGCAGAACAGTCAATTGAGTGGTACACAACGATTTGTTTGCCAGCTGTCTTCCAATAAAACAGGAAAACCAACCGCCGAAGACGGATCACACTTCACCACGACAATGCGAGCTCTCTCATATCGGCTCAAACAACTGCATTTTTGAGCACCCAAACATCGATTTGAGGAGTCATCAGCCGCGTACTCCTGGCTTAGCACCGAATCACTTCTTTTTATTCTCGTAAGTAAAAAACAAACTCAGAATGTTTTTCGACACCTGAAGAAGCGGTTGCTGCATTCAGAATGCATGTTTTGAAGATACCTCAATCAGTGTCAAAAGTGCTTCGACAATTGGCTCAAACGCATGCAAGAGTGTATAGATATTCATGGGGAATATTTTGAAAAACAATAAAGTGATTTTTGATGATTAATATTTCTTTTTGTTCTCTAATCCTGAAATATAAAAGGCAACCCTTGCATTTGCAGATCTGTCCTTAAAGAACAGATTTTTAGTGAGGAAAAAAACCTTTATCTTCATTATTGTAGTTGCAGGAAGATGCTGAAAAAATTTGAACATTTGCAGGCAGATGCTAAAAAAAATTTAAACATTTGTAATTTTCGAAAAAAACAGTAAACTTAAGGAATGAGATCTGTACTATTCATATTAAATGGATTTTGGCCACAGAGTTCATTTTGACAGACACCAGATTATAAAGAAAATTTTTTAAAAATAAAATCACAGAATACAAATACATTATACAAACTTATAATTTTAGTGTCAACCACAGCTGCACAATGTTTCACGAATGTGAATTTTCTCCCCATCTTCAAGCTACAATTACACAAGAGAAAACCTTATTAATATTAATTTTAGAAAGAAAAAAAAGAATATAAATGACTCAGAGTCATCAATCATTGTTTTGCCGTTGAAAATTTGCTGGTTTCCCACACACTATTACAATACTTTCTTTTCTCATGAAGGGCAAGAAAGTAAGAACACCTAATTATAAAGTGCAAATTCACTCATTCTCTTTCGTATTCGTTCTTTCAAGTTTGGATGTTTAGAAAACCAAGAAATAACTATCAAGCATTCACTATTTTTTTTAATTGGCTGACCGGGTAACGCCACGTTCATGGCAAAGGTTCCGACATTTCAGACGCCATTCTGAGACCTTCCTCAGGGTGTAATGCATTACAAGCCAATTAAATATGGACTTTGGCCGCAGAAGCCTATGCTCTCAAGAATTCACGTTATTTTATCGCAGAAAAAAATATCATCCGCAATATACTCTGCAGAAATGAATAATTCTTACCAAAAACTGGTGCTGTATTTTTATTAATTGCACTAGGAAGATTAGAAACTAAGCTTCTCAGAAGCAGAAATGTCCTATGATTAGAAAATCAATTTACAAATCAATAATATATACACACACACACACACAAAAATACTAATATGTAGAATTGTTTTTGTAAATAAATTTTGTCCAATTTGGTATTATGGTTATGCCATATGCAGTATATTATGAAGACAAAGGTGATCGAGTTGAAGCAAAAAAAATTCTTTAAAAAGGGGTAAATACACGTTAAAGATTGGAAATCCCTGATATATAACAATTATCTTATCCATTGTGCAAAATAGAAGTGAATGCTGGATATTGCATTGGAGATAATTGATTAATTTTATCAACTTCATTTGGGTCTCAATAAGTCAAGTATCGCATTCATTCACAAAACTTATGGCTGTCTTAGCAGCCTCTTAAAAAATTAAGCTATCAATATTAACAATGAATTGTGCTAAGACAATCTCTAAAAGTTCATAGAGTTTCCTGTTAGTGGCAAGAAGTGTCAAATACAAAAATTTAACAATACTGAAGTAAATACCTTTCTGAGACATCTCTGTTCTCAGCCACAACACACAGGTCTTCCCACGATGTTGGTTCATTACGTGTTGCAACAGTAGTAATTAGTTCCACCTCAGGAATTTGTGGTGGTGGATCAGAATCACGTTGAAACATTGGTGGAGGTGCAACAACACGGCCATCGAGAACATTCTCTATAGTGAGTTCCACAGAACGTGTTACTCTCAAATCTTCAATTACAGTAGTAAGAGCTACATGTGGAAAGAGCTGCTGAACCTAGAAAATGCACCATTGTGTATAATAGTATGCTTTGACTAATGATTTGGGGTGCAAACAAATGCAAATATGCAGAAAAGAAAGATGAAAAACCTTGCACACAGGCTTAATTTTAATATAATGTCTTTCAATTTTACATTGGAAAACTCCCACTAATGAAAACAATTTAAGTAAAAGTGAAGCAAAAATAAGGCAGGACTTTCCTTCTTTAAACTTTTCAAAGTTATGTTTTTAACTTCTCATGCATAATAGAGCCTACATGGCATTACGAAATACAAATTGGGCTCTAAAGGGCTCAATGAATTTTATATTTCAGTTTACAAACTTAAAGCTAAATATGCTGAACTGTCAATTCAAAATTTTGGATACTCTGGACTAAATATCTTACAAATATAGTAAAACCCTGCTTTTACATTCCTGTAATTTGCGCTTTCCCGACATTTACAACCTTTCTTGTAGGTCCCATCAGTTTCCATAGATTCACAATTTTAATAAATACCCCACTTATGATATTGTAATTCCAATTTTCCCGCAATTTACAACAGTTTGCTTGCCACAATACCATCTAGAACGTGCGCCTACCAGGCATTGGGCGTTGAAAGTTACAAAATGTGTGTTTTCTTGGCTTACGTTCTTGCTTGAGTACAACGCACGTTGCCTGGAGCACTCCTGTGCCGTTGCGCATATGATACAATGTTAATCTATGATGCACGTTAAGTAACTCTGGTGCATAGATATCCACGCAGCTCATGACATCAGTGTTAGGTAACATGCGTCAACACAACACTCATGTGACACAGGCATAAGAAAGGTAGCCTCGCGACCAATTGTTTACTTAACACAATTTCACAATTTTTCATTCTATAATAAATGTAATTTTTCCCATCCTTTAATAACTCAATCATCAAAGTACAAGCTTCTCCGTAGGCTTTTAACTGTCAATTCGTTTCATGAAACCCCTTATCTATGATTTCACAAATTAATTTAAAAATGACAAGTTGGAAATCACTACGAAATGCTGAAAAAAGTTTTTTATTGATTTGGGGAATATATAAACTTCACATTTTTTCTTACAGTAGAAATATTGTTGTCCTTCCTTCATCCAACAGTTAGTACATAGTTGTATCATCAAAGGCTACCATCAGTGGATGGTAAGGACTCATGAGAGTATCATTGCGATATTTAAAATTCACTGGGCTTTGGTGTCAAATCCCGATGTTAGAAATTTCGGTCAGATTTCTATTTGACCTTGTAATAGTGTTTATTATGAATCTAATACATTATAGTGTACTCATAATTTTGAAGATAAAAATAATTTCCCCTTATTTACATTTTCCGTAGGGTCCCATGAAAAGTGTAAAACAGGGGTTTTACTGTAATTATAAGATCACTTTCACAAGATAATACAACAAACTAAGGAAATAAAAACAACAGAACTGAATATTTTAATACAACCAACATACCTGTCTTGCCATTGCATCAAGCTGTGATGTTTGAGCTGGCTGTGCTTGATTGGATCGGAATAATTGAGTATGCGTAACTTCAACTGAAAAGCTTGGTAGCCATGAAACATAGCGTGAACCTAGAACAATATTATCATATAATTCTCATCTTACAAAAATAAAATTGTTTAGATTTACATCTTGCTAGTGTTTATCCGATACATATTTTTAACTGACTACGGTTGATATAACAAAATTCTGACCATACACTCAGCCTTAAATATTGAAACAAGTCATAAGTATCCATGTAACCCTTATGTGTGTTTATAACAAAGTCATGTTACACAGTTATAACTTCTTGATCCTTATTAAATGAAGTTCTGAATGCTTTAGGTACTGCCATTGATAACAGACGGCTGTTTGCAGTAAACCAATTTTCCAATATCAAGGACCTACAAAACTTGGATTCTCATTACACAATGTGTTAGGAGGAAGTAAATGAGTTGCAAAAAGAGTATGTTACATACATTTTGAAGAAAAGGATATTCAAGTGGTCATGGTGAAGGGTAATGTCTTCTATCTTTTTTTGTAACCCGCGTTCACATAGTGTAATAACACAAAGTATGAAAATACATAAAAAGTATATGAAAGAAATACATAAGACAACGTAATCCATAGAAAAAATTGAAGTTAGTGATTTCTCAGTCATGTGCAGTCTTAATTCATATTATTTTCTCCATTTAATATTACTGTTACATTACATTTTGAAAATTATTGAAAAGTAATGATTTTTTTATTGTTTCTATTAGATATGACAACAGTATTATTACTACAGAATCAATCACAATCGTTTCAATTTTTTAATTTTTAAAAAATTTTTTTTTTAATACTAACCGTAATATTCGATATAAATGTGTTGAATGGAATTCACAGTGCACACTGTAAAGGCATGTCTGCTTTACAATTTAAGGCCCAGGAAAACTTGTTTAAATTAGGATAGATTTGCAAATATAAGTGGCTGAATAAATTCACTAGTGGTGCTAATACGGCACGTACTTTCAAACAAAATTATGCGAAAAGTACACAAATTTTCATAAAATTCCACATGACGTTCATTCAAAATCTATCTTTAAGGAACAGATTTCATAAAGGCAAAAAAACTATCTTAACAATTGTAGTTGCCGGAAGACTGAAAATATTGTAAATATTTAAAAATCAGTTTTCAACAAAAATTAGACCTGCGCCATTCTCTTAAACGTCCTTTACACTATCCAACAACAAAATTTAATTAAAAATGATGGAGCCATTGTTTTTTAAATTTTGAACATGTCCCAGGGGTTTCATATAAAGTACCCCCAAAATTAAAATCAGTTTCAAATTCAAGGGGGCGAGACATTCAAGGGGGCAGATCAATTGGGGAATATCAATTTTGGAGAAAACTGGTTGAACGGTTTAGCTGCTAGTGTTGTTCACAGATGGACACAGACATTTTGCAGTCATGCTATTTTTGGTATTAAGGATCCTCAAAACATGGATTCTGGCTACACCATGTATTAACAGGATAATTTAGTAATTGTATTTATCTGTTTTTTCGTTACCAGGGCCCCGTAATAAAGAACTTTTCTACTGAAAATTCGTTTTTTTTTTGCGCAGCATTACATAACTTTGCCTCTACTGCATAAGCGGTAGTGAGAAAGTAAAAATAAATAAATGAAAAAATAATAAACCCAACAACTTGAGGGGTTCCATCAGAAATGGTCAAAAGCCACACTCCCGGCGGTTTTCACTTTTCCTTCAGGTTGATGCAGTTTTCCGGCCGACATCTTTGAATTCTCAATGGTAATAGACTTCTAGTAGCCAAAAAAAGAAAATTATTAGCAAACGTTATCTGCATTACAGTGAAGATTGTAAATGTGTTTGATGCACAGGAATATTGTGGCAGCGAAAAGGAGACTACTATTTGTGTTAGAAGGAAATAGAGATTTGAGGATGTTGAGACTGCAGAAGATGAAAATAACATTGATTTCAGTGACTGTGGGAATTCACGGAAGCCTGAAACCAGTTACAGCGATTCAGACTGTGAAAAGGTAGATTTAATTGAGCAAGTAATATGAATCAAATTAGTTATATGGTTTAGGACTATATCAAGGACAATCTCAATATACAGCATTTCCTGGTTTATGGATTTAGTCAAACTTTCAAAATGCTCTCCTCTGAAAAAGTGATTTTGTTCTCGTGACTATCTTTGACAGAACTTTTCAATTGCACAGTCTCCTCGTGAAGTCTGTTAAAATAATGATACGTACACAAACAATTCTCCTGCCCATACAGTATATGACAATAGAAATTGATCACGAAAGAGGTTTTTTAAGAATTAATCTAAAATATCTCCCAACTTGTTTAAAAATATTTACTAAGATGATAAAAATGTAATTTATCTCACCATCGAAGTGGAAGAAGTGATTAGGTGGCCTCCTATTAGCATTCTGTACATTGTCTGGGCCCTCTCCGGCTAATAAATTGTGGTCAATATGCCGAGAGGCTTCCATTGCTACAGGGCTTTGAATGTTTAACATCATACGGCATGTTGGGCAAGATGTATCCTGTTCCAACCATGATTGAAGACATGAACTGTGAACAAATAATTTATTTAATATATTAACATATTTCCAATGCTCTCATTTTTACAATTCTAGATACAAGGCAAAAACAAATATGAATTTGTCTACCACAGAGATATTTGTTAAGAAAGATAAAAAAATCAACTATTTTGCATAAAACTTATTTTCAAAAACAAATACAACAAATAGCTTTTTGTAGTTCCATTTATGTGCATTACAATCAAGTAAAATAATTTTCTGTTAATATGAATTATGATTTTCCATAGATAATTAAATCCTATTAATGTTGATCATGTGTAGAATCAAAAAATGATATAAGATCTAAGGACTATGACATTAGTTTTGAAAAGTAAATGAAATTATTTTAATTTTAAAAATCATTCTACATAGTTGCTAGTAATAAGAAATGTTTTGAAACATTTATGATAATTTGGGTGAAAAAAGTATTATTTGTTCTTGTCAGAATCAAATGAATACTACCACCTTCTAAATATTGGTGAACTAACTTACTTGTGAAATAAATGCGTGCATGGTAATTTTCGAGCTGTTTCCATTTTCTCCCAACAAATAGCACAGTTATCAGAACTTTCAGCCAATTCTTCCACAGTAGCCATGGGGTAACTGAATAAAATAAATATGAAAATTACATTTTTAATTATTTTGTGTAATTGTTTATTATTTTACTTACATTGTTACTAGTATACTGCACTCTATCGATGTCTGTCTCCAAGAAGCATGCCACAAATTATAAGAAAAAACATTTGTTGGCTGCAAAATTTCTTCACTACTTGTGTCAAACTAATCTCTTACACAACATATTAATACCCAAAATGACGATATATTCTTTAAATGTAAGTCATTATCAGGATGCAAAAAAATTCTTTCATAATGTGAAACAAGAAAAAATTCATCATTACAAGTATTTTATTCATATTTCCAAGACTAAGTGCTGTTGTAGACACAGGAGGTTATCATTTGCAAATAGTAAGTAAATAGCAATTATGATGGGCAACTAATTTCCTTTTTATCGTCGTTTGTATGCAGTAAGAAAATGTTTTCTTCAAGAATACTTAGAAAAATCCTCAGCACTTCCAGTCACTTTAGGCACAACCTTCTGGTCATTGTAGAAATTAAAGATACTGTTCATTCAAGATATGAAGTATTTCTCAGCAAAATGACAGAAAGAACATATGTTCGTCTAATAGGAAAAGACAAAGATGTGTCCACCTCCCCAACACACACCTGAAATTACCCATTCTGCATATCTCCTTAAGGTTCCCTACATCAGTCAGTACATACCAACACATGTTTGCAGAGCAGAACTTAAATGAAACTATAAAACCAATAATTTTAAACCAAAATTGATTAAATTTTGCCCAGCCCCCCAAAACATCCAAGTTTTATATAATATCCACAGATTGCACTAACTTCTCTTCCTCATTCTTGTCCTCTCTTCTCACCTTATACTCACACCTATATGCACTACTTCACCACTTGTGTAGGAGCTACCTGAAGAGGAAAATCCCCTGCATGCCAATTTGTGGGGTGGCACCAGATCTGACTACGCAGTGGGAGAAGAACACTACCCCCTCCCGGGGTAAAACACACACTACACTAACACGAATAATGACCATAGTAGTTGACATGTCCAGAAACATCCATCACACACACACAAAATGAAAAGACAACACAAGTACAAAATTAACTTACAGTAAAACGCAAACATGTTTTGCAACTCTGCTACATGTTACAAATTCTATTTTAAACCCTGAGATTTTTCCAACCCTGTTTAAAATTGATTGCCCAATTTAGGAATCGAACCTGGATCTCACAGCCGGAGCAGTCAATTCTTTGAACAGTTTAAACTACATTTAACATAATTATTAGCCATGCAGCTGTGAAGTTGTAACAGTGGCTGGCAATTATGACGCAGGAAAAAAATTCCTTCATAATTGTGTAAGCTAATCACAGTTACAGGGAGTTATAAGCATTTTGAACTAATGCCAGAATTTGTATTAATGCATTCTGAAATTATAATTATAATAAACTTGTACCACACACAAAGAAAAGTGCTGCTATTGAGAATTTCTAAATCAAGAATGTGAAGTGGAGTTTGAGGTTTGATATCTTACACCAACCTACACAAGATGTTACTTGATGAAGCCTATCATCACTTCAAAGTAACAGGTAATAAGACTGCTACATGAATAGGTAGGTATATTCGTCCCATTACAAGTGAAACACATGAAGTCAAAATCTTTCAGTTTTTACTTATTTTGTTTTTCTGCTTTGAGTTGTACTGAACTTTAGTCTAGATGTATCCACTATGTCATATTGCAGTCATTGATGTAGTGGATATATACAGTCAAGTTCAATACACAGCAAGGAAATGAAATAAGTCAAAACTGAAATATATTAACTTGATGTGTTTCACTTGTAATGGGACAATATGAACATTTCCTCCACATCAGCAGATGTGTTTTGGGTATCTTTCACTTCCTACTACATTCTTATACAATTATTAGTGCTAAGGAAAATAAAGCTGTTGATGCAACTATTTACATTTTAAAATGAAAAATAACACAGGGCTCATACAAATTATGATTATTTAAAATATCAAAAAATTTGGATTCTTTTATTAATTTAAAGCAGACTTTTTTTACTTACACTTTATGTTTTGTTTATTGTAAGTAAATTTCAATAAATTAAAAATACAACAATATTGGTACATATAATACCCTATTGGAAATTAAGAACAATATTTTGAATACGCAAAGTAATATAATTAAAAGAAAGAATTTAAACATTCAAATATTTCAAGTCTACATACAGTTAGCCTGCATGAACGTACGAACGAACTAACAAAGAAACAAACACACACACAGGACATCTAGTGTCTACACTCTACATCTATACTCCTATTTAAACACAGTGGCACTTCAAGGTCTCAAACTGGACAGAGGGGGACACTGCCATCCAATCGGTAGCTTCATTATGATTGAAGTTTTATGGTATTGAAGGTCCTGGTTGGATGACTTCTGTCTCTGACACCTTCCAGCTCTTGACCTTTAAGTAGCACATATTTAAATCAAAGAATAAGACATTTTTGAAAATATTTGGCCAGCTTGACTATTCTTGTCTAATCATGTAATACCCAGAAAAATGTGAATTATGTGAGATGATAATAATTCATTTTACATTATAATAAAATTATAATACATTATAATAAATATTATTTGCATCTCCAAATAGCATGATGAACGGAACCTTCAAAGTAATTTATTTATTTTATTAATAATAGAAGATTAAATATTATGCTATTTTAAGTACCTTATTTAAAAAAAAATATCAAATAGGTAATGTGTTTAAATTTGCAAAATAAATATTGATGATTAAAATTATCTCAGCTTTGTATCTATTCAAAGTTTTTCTACAAGGCCAAGACAACAGACTTGATTATATTTTGTCTACCAATACTCACTTTTGCTCCATGTGATTGTGCACCCATAGATAATTCCTATGTTTCTTGACACGTCTTTGTATTTCATGACACAAATAGCGTAGCTGCATACATATGACTAAAGATGCCATAGAAAGAAATATATTGCTCCACAGCAACATATGTAAATGATGCACAAGATCCAGAAGCAGCCCCGCCAATTCAAAAACAAGCTCAGAATAATAAGCAAGGGGACCTCTACGTTCCCACACTCTTCCAGCACCAGCACCTACAGCACCTCCGGCTGTGCCAGTACTTCCTTGCCTCATATCATACAAATGCAGCGCATAACGCAAAATTACATGTAATGTCTGGACACTCAGTTGCACACACTGAAACAAATAAAAAAGATTAGTCTTTGAACTAGAAGACATGGTTAGTATCAGATAATGGAATTGGTAAGATCTGAAATTGAAGTCTATAGCAAAAACTAACTAACTTGTGGAGCTACAACAGCACAAACATTCATGCATTATTTCTAACTTCTACAACTCAAAAATTCAGAGTTGGATGAAAATGACACCTACACCATTCTTTTAAATATCCCTTATAATATTGTGGGCAAAATTTAGAGAGTTTTTTGAGAAAATTTTTTGTTTCTTTTATTTGTATCAACTTCAACCAGGAATTAGGAGAAATCAACTCCGTTTTCAAAAAATGTACATGGCATATTTTAAAGATTGATTTCTTAAAATAGATTTTTTCAATAAAAATCTCCTTATTCAAAATTGAAGATATGAAATGATAACTTTTTGCAATTTTCAAAAATACTGAAAGTTTGCAGGAAACGAGACTAGCATCAGAAAAAAGAAATATTTCCAACCATTTTTGGGGAAATAACGGTTAGAAAAATTTGTAAAATTGTCTTTATTTCATGCAAAAATAATTTTTGAAAAATTGTGCCTTATTTTGAATTGAATCTTTGAACAACAGATTTTATAAAGAGAAAGATCTCTAAATTCAATATTGTACTTGTAGGGAGACCAAAAAGAATTTGAACTTTTGTAATTTTTGAAAAATCAGGGAATTCATGGAAAAGAGACATACACCGTCCTTTTAAGCATCCCTTATGCTCTTTGAGAACGAAGTTAGATTAAAAAATGTTGAGCCATTTTTGAGAAAATCTTGAGGAAGTTGTTCAGGCTTCATGTCAAATGTCCAAAATCAAAATATCCATTTCAAACTCTGAGGCCCTCGAGTTCCTTTAAAGTGATCGAGGAATATCAATTTTGGAGAAAATTGACTGAACAGTTTCGGCGCTAGCACTGTCCATGGGTAGAGTGCCAGTCGGATGTTTTACCGTCAATCGATTTTTGGTACCAAGGACCCACAAAACATTTGACTATATAACGCGTTAGAGAAAGTATCTTGCTATGAATGAATGAAAGTATCTTGCTCATCTATTTTTCTGTCGAAAATTAACTGTTTTTTGGCACACAATTACAATACTTTCTCTTCTTAAGAGGCAAAGAAAAGCAACAATCAAACATAATTTGTACTTTATACAACACATTTTGAAGAGACAGCAAAATTCAAAAGCCTAGTTTGTGAATAAAAAGTTACAAAAATATTTCATAAATTTTCAAATTCTGCATTTTCATTGCTGTCAATATCTCATCAAAGAGTCATTGCTGGTGAAATTTAATATTTTTCAATTCTTGGGCGATTATATAACAGTGAATCGAATTCAATAGGCTTATAATCCAATATTCTAAAAATGAATTTTAATCTTCACTAAACAAGCCACAGGTAAAACTGAGGACAACACATCAACACTCAAGACAATTGAAAAAACAAATAAGCTTGACTGTATGCATGACCCTGGAAACTACGGAAGATGAAGTTTGTGATCTATAAATTGCAAAAACCAATTCCAATGTAAATCATTACCTTCACATTAATGCACAAGTGGCCCTAAATTGAGCTGATCCATTCCCAACCTATGTAATTTCAAATTCTTAAATTCTTAAATACCAGAGCGTACTAGGTAGCAAGAAGACCCAACAGACTTTACAGAATTTATCCTCTTGTTAAGTTATTAAGAATCTTTTCTTTGTGAGAACATTAATGAGAACTTTGTGAGAAATTTAATTATAGATTTAGTCTTTGAATCATCTCTTAGCTGGATACCTACTCATCACTTGATTTGCTACACACTCGATATCAGTGTATGACTAATTAGTCTCTTAGAAATTTGTCCAAATTGAACTTTTTATTTACTATTAGTTAAATCATTTATTCTATTGAACTTAACCTCATTACCATGTTTATGCAAGATAATTAACCCTTTCCCGCGGAACCAAATTTAATGATGCAACGGAGCAGGCTGGGTCCAACAAACCCAGGAGTGCCTGTGATGGAATTATACCGACAGAGGTTCATTTTTAACATGGCTGATTAAACAGAACACTCTAATATTGTTGTTTAATTTAATAAAACCTTCAAAATATTTTACATTAGCTTTTTTCTTTAATTACAGATTGCACACTCTGTTTACCTAGGTATGTTCATTACAGACAGGTTTTGAACAGATGCAACTTCTTGTTGTTTCCTACTACTTTCCCAAAGGGACAAACAATATATTTTTCGGCATTGTTATAATTTTTCTGAGTTTTAGAATCTGCTTCATCCCCAATAAAATGTGCGATTGACAGGCGACACTTCAATCCTGTTTGATGTCTCCTTACATTTTGTGTACAATCCTCATTCTTTGCAATATCAACAATAAATAATTGTTTAATTTCATGTTTTCTAACATTCAGTCAGTCCCGCAAAACCTGGACCGCACACGACTTCATAAACTCACACTCCTGATTCTTTGCTACATATTAACCCGCAGCAACACCTTCTATGAATGTGTCCTCCTTAGAATTGCACACGTGTCAGATAATATTCCGATTAAAAGACATTGCACAACATGACATCTGACCATCCCTTAGACACGAAGCAGTTGTCAAGAAATTGTCCAAACAAAAGCAGAAAATGCAATATTACACACAGATTAAGCAACCTGGGTCCAACGGACCCTGCTTGCCTTGTTGCGGCTGAAATAAGATAAAAGATTTTTTAATTTATTATACAGTAACTCTTTCGTAAAATGGTTGCGGGTTCTTTTAAAAAGCATCATAGCAAACAAAGTCACAACAAACTATCCTAACATCTTTAAAAGTTTTCACACAAACTATTGAAAATTTTGCTTTTGCGTCCAATGACCCAGGTTGCCCAGGTAAGGGGTTAATAAAATTATAATTAAGGTTATTTTAAGACCAAAAAATGACACACAAAGTAATACAGTTAAAATCCATCTATATGTTTTTCACATTTATTTGATGTTATTTATAAGTCCCAGCCAAATTTCTATTCTTCGCATGTTAAATTATTTCAGACATGCATTTTACATTTATTCATTTTACCCGCTTACAGGTTCATAATAAAATTCCTGACTATATCAAGGAATATGACCAACATCAAGGTGTAAGAGATTCTGTCTGACATACATGACCAGTCAGCAAGATTACATCATCCTAGAGGAGCTCAAGGAATCTGTGTTCAGATTGTCTAGTTTTGTTGGTACTCACAGCCTACCAGCTTTTCAATGGAACCTGATAGGAACTGTGGAGAGCATGAAATGCATGTCACAATGCAGTGCAGGTGTTTGCACTGCATGTCCAGAAGCAGGAAAGAAACTTGGTTTTCTCAAAAACGAAAATTTAGCCAGGTAACAGTCTACATGAAATTCCCACAAATAATGGTAAGTGCTTACATGCTTTTTTTGAATGTATAATTACGCTGCATACTGTTTACCCCCCCCACCAATTATCAAAGATAATGCTGTGTCTCTAATGATGTAATCCACAGCTTATCTGCCCACATAAGAAAAGGTTAAAGATCAACCTATTGCATGATTCACCTTCATGATCGTTATAAGGTTACAGAGTAGTTATATCTTGGGTATATTTGAAGATTCATCACACACATTAAAAGTTTAAAGGGTCATCACAACACTACAAAACAAATTCCATAATGTATCACTCCACCACTATTACTTTCCAAAGCAAATATTTTTCTTGCATAATCTGACATATTTAGTGCATAACCTCACTCATTCATTCAAGTCAAGGTTACATGACATCATCCAGCAACATTTTGCAATTTTTCCTGGACTTCCACTGATCAGAGAAAAGGTTACAGAATTCAATATATTAAAAATTGAAACAACGACCAATTAAATCTTCAATTCTTCAAAATTAACAGCTCTAAATTCTAAACTATCTTATTTATATTTACCTCAGCCACCATGAAGGCGAAAGTGTTAAAGCCCCCAAAAAAGCCAACAGCAACACATATTAAAAATAATAATCCAGACAATATCAAAATAGATATTAGCAGACCAAGTAATCTTATATGACTCCATCCAGGTGTAGTAGGAGAAAATGACAACTGGAAAAAAAAATGTATATATAATAAAAAAATATTACAAGTCAAAATAAGATATTATTTTTATACTTTCAAACAACACATGCTAAGTCAAAACCACTCTTATATAATTTGAAAGTTGTCACATTGGAGTACTACAAAAACATTAAAAGAAATTTCAAAGAGTAGCTTCAAATGTAATTGTTCATGTAAGATCGTAATTTTCCTTATTTTTATACTTCTTAATTGAGAAAAGCTGTTAGACTATATTCCAAAAATACTTTAACAACTGAAGTTCACCTGAACACTTTAATACGTATGTCTGCATTTTGGACAAACTCAATATTGGGCCTTTATAAAGGATGTTCATACAGACTAATATTGAGTTCCTACAAAATGTCAGATGCCATTATCTACACGTGAACCCTTCAATTAGCAATACAAAATACTAATTTCTAATACAAAATAAATTAAGTGTAAACTATCTCATCACAGTGTTCACAAACAAGTGACAGAATTGGAATATTAAATGAATGGTTGATACTGAAATGTTGCTCCATCAAATTACACAATGCTGACATATATTTAGCACCATTGATGAGTTAGTGCTTGCAGCTGCATTATATATGATTTTATTATGAATTCACATTTTTTAAAAAAAGAGATGATGAATATAACAGAAACATTGGCATAAACAAACATTTTTTTTTCAATTGCAAATGACCTACTTTAAAGAGATTCCAACACACACAAATTGCAGTCAAAAACAGACTCGTTTTATTAATTCTTTTTGCAGCAGGGCACAAGTGTGACAAATTATTATTAATTTGAACAATTAATAAGCTAACACAAAAAATTAAATTTGCACATGAGCAGAAGATGTACTTCTTTAATGTCAGGCAAAATAAAACTTTACAAGAGGCAACTAAAATCGTTGGCATTATGCCCTGCAAATATCTGACATTAAAGAATTATTTTAAATTTATGCAATAAAGATCACAAAAATTAACATTTATTGACGTAACAGAAAAATCTTTAATGACTTGTAATGTGAAACAATAGTTTTCTGGCAATCACCAATTTTGAATCCACAACTGAAATGTGCCTTGCTACAATTTTGCATGTATTTGAACAAAAATGGAAGATTTTAAGAATATGAAATGTGGAGCATGCAATGTTGCATGGAATAGATTCACTGTCTTCGGAAAGACACACTATTCTTCAGTATCACAATACTAAATTTCACTTTATTTATAACATCTTATTACTACTATGGAGTCCTTTCGATGGATTATATGCATTATATTTTACTAATATCACTTCACTGGTGGTACTATGAGACAATAATTTCTATAATACTGTCTGTCTAACAATTTTTACTTGCACGTTTATGAAATTAAACTTACATATTCAAATCTATCCTTGCACAGTTGAGCCAACAGATGTAAAAAACCAAGGACAGAGAACCATGAGCACCAGAGAACAACTTCATCCATGTACTGAACATTTATCACTCCAAACACAAAGATGAATTTGTAGAATACAAAGTTCCAAAATTTGTCCTTGATGTGTTGTTGTTCAGAAACCCGCAACTCTCCAAAAACAAGTTTCTGAATGAACTTGCCCAATAGAATTAAGCAACAATATGCCATGTTGATCAGTGTCTGAAACAAACAGTGTATTATTATATTATTACAGTGTATGTTATTAATTCAAGCATACAACAATATTTGTGAGGTATTTTCCAACTCAAACTCCAATAATAATAATAATAATAATAATAATAATAATAATAATAATAATAATAATAATAATAATAACAACAATAACAACTAATTGATTTACTTAGCTCAAACTGAATATATGTGTAAAAATCTAATGCAGACACATTACCCCAAAAACAAAACATGATATGTGTGAAACAATATTTAGTCCAATGAAGAAAATTTAAATTTCAATGCAACAACACACACTTAATTGAAGCATATTAAGCAATGAAATGAAAATAACTTTATTGACTAGCAAGATATGAAGAATTTTTCTTTTAATGCAACCAAGATATAAATTGATACTAGAAATACTCACTTGCAAAGCAATTTATACTAATTTATTTAACAATGACAAAACATTTGTTATGATAATTTTAAGATTACATGTGTTATCATAACTGAACTTCAAATCAATTTTAACACCTTTTTCAAGTTGTAAATCAATATTTATCTTCTAAGATGAAAAAAGATGAACTTCTATAACATTCCTAGACATTTTATTCAGAAACTTAATTGATAAATGATGCATTCATGACAAGAAAATTAAAATAAATAAGTGTAATGTAGCAGAATAGTAATAATTTAGTATTCCAATATTACAGTTTTATTTTATTATTATTTTTTTTATTCCACTTCTTGTACAATAAATGAATACAGCAGTATCTCACCAAGATGGAAAACGATTTTTCAAAATTTGAGATAAATGTATCCCTTTAACTATCACGCACTATGCTCTAACATATGGGAATTCATTTATATTATTCCTATTCCCAAGCCAACTACTATAATCTATACAACGGCGAGTTCAAAATTAGAATGTGATTGATGCTCTGAAGCACTGAGGCATTGCCAGGACTTCAATCACAGTAACCAAATACAAGTCAACTATTGTGCATCGTAATAGTTGTTTGTATACATGCATCAAATCACATACATTACATAATTGAATAGTGAAAACATTTCAGAAACTGACATCCAGAATTATTTGCAGTCTTAGAAAAACAATTTTTCACATTCACTATTTTGAAAATGAATTAATAGGAAGAAAAATTAGATTGACAGTTAATTTTCTTCAATAATTTGGCACGAATGTAACATGGATGAGAATTTAGAGGTTGAGCGGAGATAATTTTAATTATTCACAACATTAACAATGTCAACTAACGTTTCAAGAGACGCACTGAAAATTAACATGGCACCTCCAAATATCTAGTTAACATATTATATTTACTGACACTGAAGCCTGTTGTGTAACTGAAAGGTCGGATAGTAAAATAACATTGCAGGCATGATCACACCAAATTGAAGAATACTTTACACTTTTAAATTAATCATAAAAACAGAATATATTAACAAACACACTAGTAATATGACAGCAAATTGTAAATTAATATATTATCCAACACACGTCATACTATCTCTTGTGATCAGTATGATGAAAAATAAAATTTACATGCTACTTAAATATAAAACAAGTCCTTCAAGGAACAAAATAACTTTACAACCCCTTGAATATTAAGAAGGAATTCCAAAGAAGCATCCAAACTCAATGCACTACTTTCGATATACGGAGTTTAAAATATAGATAAATGAGCAGCAAACTAATTCGTCAGGTATAAGAAGAGCAATTTCAATTAATTTTCTGCTTCGAGAAAGATTGTAAAGCCCTAGTTACTAAAAAAATATTGAATTTTATCTTGCTTAGTCAATGCGAGATTTCAAGATTATGGTCCCCTTGTAACATTTTGCGAGTGCAAACAATTTGTTCTTACCCATATACAGAGAGGCTCTTGAATCATGAACGTCACCATCTCACCAAGTTGAAAACCCATGGAGACGTTTTGACTGTCAACCTCAATGTCAGTCTCTTCGAGATCAGGTACTTCTGCGTCTGAATCATCGTCAGTTTGCGCTGTGGCATTTGCTTTCCAGTTGGGATCACTTGTCACTTGTACGGCATAATACACCGAACATGATAGCAATACAACACTGATTATTGTATATGCTCGTAGACTAGGGAGAGGTAATCTGTCTAGCAGTATCACTGGCATACTGTGAAAGTTTATCATAACCCAGTATAAAACTAATTTATTCCATTAGTCCGTCGCACAAGAATTCATATTCAAGAAGTCGGGAGTCATCAACAAGAATACATTTGTCAGTCTTCGTCTTCAACTGTCGCTTCAAAAATATCAGTCTTCACGTTTACCCTTGCAAAATACGCCTCCTAGAACAACCCTCTTGGCACAAACGCAACTCTTCAGGAGGCCAGGGAGTGTCGTCTATACTCTCTGGCTGCTCTGGTGTCGTCAGGCGGCTGTGAGGGTCGTTCATCAAATTCAAGAACGAATCAAATACAAAGAACGAATCTAGTTTAGAAGGAATTTTCGTAGAATTTAATTTCTTCTTTACATAACGTGAAATCATGGAATCAATGAAACTTAAGCATTACAAATGTTATCTCAGCTTCCGAAAATCAGAGAATATTAAATTATTCGAATGGAAAATGAACACAAACATTCATGATTTTTTAGGCAAAGTAAAAATCAAGATAGCCAACGTACACATTAAAAATCGGCGAGACAATAGTCTTTATTATTCAATTATTTAATTACGATTTTTCAAGAATATCGTGAATAAATTACCTCTTCACTGTCATTACTTCATTGTGTTCGTTGGGTGGCTCCGATAAGACCGGGAGTTTGATGTGTATAGAAACTAACAAAATGCTGTTAGGGAGATTGTCATGTTTATCTATACTACCAGGAATCTTCCCAATTTTATTGGTTTTATAGAAATTATCTATGTCTGGGTTCAAGATTATTAGAAATTTGTGTAAAATAAATCATTTGAGAAACAAAAATCAATGGTGCTATACCTATTCCACGAGTTTGGTGCTCAAGCCTTCCCGTTAATTTTGGTATTATTAGAGTATTCTCTAGATAAGCGTAATTATTAGGGGGAGGATCTTTATGACCTAAAAATGTCGAAATATGCATTTATGGTCTACAAATTCTCAAATATGCACTTCAATATGCAATTAAAATTAACAATTTTTAATTTCCTGTATAAATCTTTCTGGATAAAATTCAAAAGAAGAGTGCTTGGAATGAAAAGGTATATTTTTGTGCAAACATAATTAAATCTACCGTACTTCGCGGGAGAAATAATTAAAGCAAATATTCATCTCAGTGAAGTACATTGTATGTCTTGTAGAATTTCTTGGTTGCATTTTCTGATTTAAAACAAATATGGTATCAGAAATTTCCTACATCTGCCTAAGTATTTTATCATCAAATCAATCATCAATCAAGAAAAAAAAACGCTAACTGTGACAAGCTCTTTCTAATTTATGAACGCTCACAAATAAATAGATCATATGAACAGTTGAAACCTTTTTATAGACAAGTCTCTACTTTAATGAAATATGCAAAATACGCGCCTATAATTACACGAATATGCACCACCAGGAAAAAATGGGCCAAATATGCATTAACATATTAATCTACATAGCATCCAATTCTAACCAAATAGCAAGAAATTTCACTTAGCTATGCCTTGAAGCAACAGACAAAAAAATGTAAAATCATAGAAATTCGCTCCCTAGTAATTATATTCAGCGTGAAGTACTCGTATAAATATGTAGTGTCCAAAATGTAACAGAATTATCAAATATCTTGCAAAATAAGCATTTACACGGAAATATAACACTATAAAAAGTTTCATATTTCCAAGATTGGAATCCAATTGAGGTCAAATTTCCTTCTCCTTTTGCGACTTCTATTACAGATTCGGATTCTACGAATAAGTTTACGTACGTAAAATTAGTTTGAACATTTTTTCGAATACTCATATTTGGTACTGCGATGCTGAAAATATAAGTTTACGATCTTCACGATTTTCCTTGCCACCGGTCGGTTATCTCTCATCATAAATGACTAAATAAAAGTTAAATAAAATAAAACTAGTGTTACAAGACATACTTTTTCGCTTTATAAGAATATATTCGTATTCTACGTACGTACAATGTGTGTGTATGGTTACGTAATGTAAAATAGTTGGACACGTAAAAGTTTTATCAACGTGAAAAAATATGTATTGAGCTAGTGTACTTGATGTTATATACATTCAGGATGTCAAGATAGTTCAGTAGGTGAATATCCCAAAAGCGATCTATGGCTCCATTTAGCCCTCTTGGTCTAACATTCTCACTTTCGGCGCGCGGGTACAAATTCTGTTCTAGACTATCGAAATAAACTTAGGTATCCCCCACAGACACTTCCTTTGAAGTGGTTGGGTTTGGAGTTTGTTAGCATTGTTTCTCATGCTTTACATGTAAGAAAAATTGAAAACATTATGTACCATTAAATTTTATGAGCATTTTAATATTATTACTACATACGTTGCATGGGGCAGCAATGCAGCGAGGTATATTTCAGAAGTTCATTGTTGAATGACAACAATTTAAGATAATATAGTGTGAAATTCTGTTGAGTTCTCCTCTTCGTTGAACATTGGTACGTAACCGTTGTGAGGTTTTGTTTTGTTTTGTTTATTAATTATTTATTATTTATTATTTATTATTTATTATTTATTATTTATTATTTATTATTTATTATTATTATTTATTATTATTATTTATTATTTATTATTTATATTTATTATATTATTTATTATTTATTATTTATTATTATTATGAATTTAAATTTATTCGTTCATCTATTAATTTTTTTATTGAACGTTAAAAACAGAAAAACGGAGTGTGACGTATTATAGGGAGAAATGTTTTTGTGACGTTTTCGTTACTTCGGTAGTCCCTACTAACCCATTTACGGCTATTTAAACAAGAAAAGTTTTATGCTTCCATCGAAATTTTACTCATTTTCTTTTCATTGTAAGATTGTAAAACGAGAAGAAAAAACCGTTTCACAAACTACATTTCGTATACAGAAACCTACGGGGAAAATGCTACTTAAGAGACTATTATATATATATATATCTATATATATATATATATATAATATTATATATATATATTTCTCTCTTACTCGCTCTCTGTCGCCTCGGTCTCGGCTTCTCTCTTCTCTCTCTTCTTCTATCTCTCTTTTCCTCTCTCTCTCTCTCTTGTGAAGTAAAAAAATCGATGTCGAGAGTTTCATGGAAATACATGTTTTGAGGGTCCCTGAAATCTAAAACGAGTTTGTTTTACATTTTATTTCTTTGAAATTTATTATTTTTTTTACAAAATCCTATACCTGTCTTCCTGTTCGACAGTATGTTAGTTTGACCGTTCGTGGACAAAATTAGCACCTAAAACGTCCACAGGATTGTATACTCAATGGATATTCGACAATTGATTTTCTGCACTTGAGCCCCTGCGATTTGAGACGGATTTTTTAATTCTGTTATATTATTATTTTTTTACATAATTTTCTGCTTAAATAGAAAGAAGGACGCTTCAAAAATGGCACAGGTTTGATGTTCATTACAACCTTCGAAAACTGCCGAAGTTTAAACTTTTGTGGACTCCTCCTGCACTTTTACTATTGAAGATATTGACTTTTATCTGAATGAAACCTGTCCTTCAATATTAGATCGTTAAATGACGCCATGTACATATTTTTCAAAATATGAGTAGTTTTTGCATTATATTAAGTCAACTCGTGACCATTAAAAAATCCGTTGCAGTCGAATGGAGGGAGGACCCGAAATGAAGATAAAAAGGAATGTACACAAGGTAATGGAAGTAAGAAAACAATGAGAAAGGAATAATGTCAGAAAAGCGAAAGGCCAAGATTTATTAAAATATCTACGGGAGAGGTAGCTTAGGGTATCAACTGATGTCACCTGATGTCACTGCTACGCTTCTGATACGGAGGTCCTACGTTCGAGCCCCGACGCTGACAGGAGTTTTGAGACAAGCTTGTGAGCTAGGTCGAATTCAGTAGCTGCCTGGAGGATAATTCTAGCGGCCGGCTGCTCTGATAGGTAGCTTTCCGTGGGGTCTCCGATCAACACCAGGCGAATGCCGAAGCAGTACCCTTCCAAACGTACCGCGCGCGATCTTTCCTTTCTCTTCCTTGTCTTATTCTCATCCCTTATTCACACACACGCACACTAACATAACTAAACTACCTCACATGCCGGGAGACCGGCCGAGAGCTTAGAGATAGTCCCGTTTGGAACGGTGCCCCGCTGGTGGGAGATTCCTGGTTGGAGAAAACCCAGCTAGCCGACAGTAGGTCGGTGCCGGATCTCGTCGCGGGGGAAGACAATAGCCACCTCCCGAGAAAAAATACACTACACCTACGGGACTAATGATCACAGCAGTTGACCCGCCCAGAATCACTAACAATCAATCATCAGTGTAGGGGCATGTTATCAGAGAGGAAAACTCTGGAAGACCACAAAATCAATGGAGGGACAATGTTCTATTAACGTGATTCTTTTAACGTGAAAGAGACTCTGTTCGCCAAAACGTGAAAGAGCACAGGCTACCGGCCTGCGTAAAAGAAGCATAATATGAACAACTAATGTTTTGTTGATAACGTTTTATTAACGAATATTAAAGATATAGGTATATCTTTCGAAAGTACTCGATGTTACTTCTTATAAAGCATCGTTCTTCAAATTATTTCCATTAGCGATTAAAGTCACTCATATCGGCCTTACCTTAATAACAGGTAGCAAATATATTTTATTGATATGAAACATTACTTCATTAATTATTGTCGGACTGTTGAAAGAGAACGGATCTCTTTACTTTCTATGATGGGAAGAGTGAGGGAGTTAAAAACCGGGTCATTAAATATTTTTAGATGTAATGATTCATTTTTATTTCCATGGGCGTGCTTTTTATAAGAGGCATTTTCATCATCTTTATCAACCACTTTCCATACTCTATCGTTTCATTAAAATATAATTTATTACGTTTTCGTTTTGTTATTTTTACTTATCTTTTCATTCGTGTGAGTTTTGTTTGTCTCAATTCTAAATTACATATTTGATTTGTTGAAGGCCTAACACTGAGGTTTGTAATCTACAGACCAAGCGTTTGACAACTTTTTATGTTTAGTATATTCTGACTCGCTGAATCTTTAATAAAAACATTTGAATATATATCCATGCAAGTGTCACCATTACTATTTATTAAAATATAATACGTTGGGAAAAAGTGGATTTAATTCTTTGGTCGAATAATCGTTTTTGTTACAAAAGTCAGTATGATAATTTAAAAACATAAAATAGTTGAATAAATAGGTTTAATTTCAAATCCATATCCCAAATATTTTATAAACAGTGGAAGTATGACTGGAGTTGTGGGTATACTGCACGTTACATGTCTGAAGGATTTGATT